TATTAAGGTTTGAATACAGTATCTTATATATACCTGTCGAACAACGCAGTTAGTAGTTCATGGCAGAAATATATGACCGACCAATTAATGACATCAATATTCGATAGATCGGATTGTTAGTTTTGAAGAACATTCCAAAGACAACTAGATAAGAAACTACTTTCCTATTGGTAGCAGTTTTCCTGAGTGTACTTTGATGTCGATACATTGACATATACTTCAAGAAACTTTATATTATGCTATAATTTAAAATCTTTTATAAACCGATATGTATCCAGCAATGTAAACTTTTTCAAATAAGTGAATAATTCACATAGATTTTGTATTGGTTTTATCAGAACAACTGTCTTTTATTGCATACATGGTAATCCTTAAGTCTTGAAGACAATAATATTAACAAAAAACACATATTTTATAAAACCTAGTGATCCTTATATGAATATATATTCAATAATAAAAATGTAGTTAACCATTAAATAAAAATAATTGCACATAGTTCACACATAATTATTGTTCTCTCGATTGTCATCATAAATTGTCTGAATTTTTCTTTCATGCTTATTAGTTAAATGACAGTCAACTGAAAGGATAATTGCCGATGGAACAACAAATGATGCTTCAAGATAAAATATTCATGATCTTTTTTTTGACTAACATATATATTTTGTGATACAACAGCATAAACTATATCAAGTGAACCAGTAATTACTATTAATTGGACATTTTCTTACTTTGATGCTTTTGTAAAACATATAGTTGATAATAATTTAAAAAAAGCAGTCAAAACATCGGCAGTACTCATCCATTTTCATGAATATAAGTCTGGTTGCCAAAATTGATGGCTAATACTATAAATCAATGAAATTAATAGATCAGTACTTGTAAAATGAAAGTTCATAGCAGAATATAGTTGTTTTGTAATGAGTAATTGTTTTCAAGCAATTATTTGTATTGCTTTTGACAGAGCTGATAAAAAAATTTAAGTCAATACCTAAATAATAATGACATGAAGAAGGTTTAGTAGTAGCAACAGTTATGGTAGAAGTGGTTGTTGTTGGAAGTGTCGTAATTAAGACTGACAATGATGATAACGTCTGATCTAATATATGAACTAATGATTCAATTAAGAAATGGGAGTTAGTAGTGAGTATAAGCTCAACGAACATGAAAAATAATTAAATAGCATTAATAATTTTGAAACTTTCCTTGAAAAATATAATAGATAATATTGCTGCCCAATCAATATAAGTGCATTTGATTGTATATAAACCCGATTATGGAATAAAATACAATGCAGTTATATAAATTAAACTTGTACTACCAGATATTAAAGTACTTAATATACAAGTAATGCATTGGCTATTTGTAGCCAATGCATTCAAATTTTTATAGAAGGTAGTAAATATACCAACAACAATAGATAGACTTTAAAGAAATCGAACAATCAAAATATCAAGCATATTAGTTGATATTAGTTTGAGGGCAAATGCATAGCAAGCGAAAATGAAACTTGCGGTTAACATATACCAAAGTTCAAAATGCTCATGTTATCGACGACATACGGTTTTCAAAAACGATGTTGAAACTTTTTCATTATTTTGATTTTTCTCAATGAGATTAGAGAAAATAGCGTAAAGTAGTACCTGTTATTGTTGTTTCTCATTTTATACTGTCATGAATGTATTTTTTTATTAGTAGAATTTCAAGAACAAATAGGATACATACCATGTCTATACATAATTCGTCTTATGAAATTGCGCTTTAGAATGACGATGGCATAAAACTCTTTATACCCAATCAACCAAATCAATAAAAAAAACTCGTAAAAACGAACCCAAAATAAACGCGTTTCAATTCGTTAAAACCGCACATTTAAACGTGATAGCAACACTATATAAAATTAAACGGAGTTTTTACGGTATCAGATACTTTAACGCATTAAAACATGAAGTTTTCACGATTTTTTTTTGTTTCATGTCAAAACTCCAAAAGAGCCAACTCATGAGCTAATATGAATTGAAGGTCTTTTGAGAATCACTGTGTGACAGTAAAAGATGAAACATTTTCTTTATGAGACTAAGATAATTGCAGTGTTTTTCCACTGAAACTATATTTTTTGACATGGGTTGTTTCTTTCAATAGTGAGTGTTCTTTTTTGACACCTTTTGGCACATGTCGATTAATATATGCAAAAGATTTTCGAAACAGAACACTCACTATTAAAAAGCATAATCTATGTCCAAAAATATAGTTTCAGTGAAAAAGCACTGCAATTATCTCAGTCTCATAGCGAAAATGTTCCATCTCGTACTGTCACACAGTAGTTTTCAGATGACCTTCAATTTGTATTAACTCATGAGTTGACCAATTCAAAGCTCTATTTTATAGCTAAACGTGTTGTTAAACATTCGATAAGGCAGTTAAATATGCTCTGTAGACAAAATAGGCAAGGTAATGCATCATGATTATTTGAAATTTATGTGTGATTACTCGAGAGTACTATTATCTTAACATCTTCATACCTATGCTATTACTTTTGAAGTCTTATATCTTTGTCTTTATCTGCATACTATTATATCTACATATATCCTTATCCCTATACTTTCATGTTTAGGATGCTTTTATGTTCATATTCTTATATCTGTAATCTTGTTCCTATAGATATATCTATCTAGTCTTATAATTTCATATTCTTAACTGTTGAAGCCTTATATCTATGTGCTTATCCATATATTCTTATATCTATCGACTCATATCTATGCTATAATGCTTGTGTGCTTTCTTGGATTCTTATTTCTGTGCACTTAGTTGCGTATTATTATACTCGCATTCTTACATTTATAATTTATACTAGTACATCAAGCCGATATTATTATGTCTATGTATCTGCACCATTAAATTTATAGATCTATACTTGATCAGATAAATTTTGTAAGCGTTTTGTTTTTCATAATCATCTGATTTATGTTTAACTAGCTAGCTTAGTATTTTGGATTTGGAGAAACAAATAAATGCGTAACCATTTTCTCTAAATGAGCACCATCTATCAATTATTTTGAAGATTGTATTAAAAAAGCTTGCTTACCTAAAGAATTTTTGAATTAAAAAGCGAAAAAAAGCAACTTTGGGTAAAAGCTTGTATAAAAAAAATTATATTCCGTATTTTTTTGTTTCAGTTCGCCTGAAATTTATTACGAAATGATGAGTTCATGCATTTTCAAAGAACGTATAAGAAAAAAAGAAATATAAATTTTCATGACATCTCAGTTTGATTATTTGGAAGAATCAGAGATAGCACAACATATAAGGAGAAAGAGAATGGAGACAATAAGAATCAAAAGCATGATTGTTATCCTTATTACTACAGGTAAATTATGTGTGAAGAAAATGCAAGCAACTGGGATTGATAAAATACATATTTACTGAATGAATCTTGTATTTACGTCAGCTACTACAGAGGAAAGAACTAGAAATGCTTGTTGAACTATATCACATAACCGATAGTTTATAACACGAGAGTTTAATATTGTGCAAGTAACAAAAATAACATGACTAATTAATTTTATAAGAGCTACATTTTATGAAATAAGGAGGCTATAATGAACTAATAATTAATCGGCTAAATCAAAACCCAAGGAGCGAAAAATATTTCAAGTTATTTATAAGAAATAACAGCATGACAGTCTATTTAGTCTTGTGAACACGTTTTAACCTGTAAGTTTAGTGGCAATAACGACAAAAAAAACGAGTAAATTTCGAAAAAATTACCCATTTTAATGCATTGGAATATGGTAACGCGTTTTAACTTGTTTAAAACTTACATAATAACAGCGTTTTAATGATAATATTTTGTTTGAACGCTGTTATTACAGAACCTTAACTCGTTTAAACGCGTTATTTTTTAACGTTTGCCTGCCTGGGTAGACTAGTATCCTATAAAAACTATAGTATATTATTTATAGACAGAAGCAAAGTAAAACGCATTATATATCTGTCATTTTAAAACAAAAAAACAAAGAATCATGCATTAATGCTCCTTTCAAATACATAACATGTCGAGAATACACAATCCATTTGTCATCTACATCATTGTCTCTTTCTCATTGACCACATAGCGTACACGAAGGATATTAGTGTAAGGTTTCTTAAAAACTTTTCGGTTTTGTGGAGGTAACTTAAATGAAGAAAAAAAAATTTTAATAAGACTTACTATTGGCAGATTTAAAACTATATTTGACGAGAAAAAAAAAGACATTTTTCTTACTCTGGTTACTGGTAATATTATTATCTTCAGTAGTAAACAATAGCAATTAAAGAATCAGCAAAGACGGAAAAATTAATTTTTTTATTATAAAATGTTCTCTATATAGAATTTTAGTTCTTTAAAATATTCATAATTATTTAACAACAAAGACTAGTAAAGAATTAATTTAGTGTATATAATTATCTCATTAATTTTCAAGTTTCCCAATCGCTAATACAAAGATTATCTATGCAGTCATCAAAATCTTCGGTTAATATGATTTCTAATACTTTAGATTGTCTTGAATCGATGTATATCATTACATTGTGGTAACTTAATTTGAATGCGAAGGGATGTCAAAAAACAACTGGAACTCAATTTATTATTGCTCATAAATAAAAATACTTTTGATGTATAGTGTAATATGAAAACAACCTGTACCTACGTGTCAGTTACTTCTATATCAATCTTTAATTTTCGTGTATATCTTCTGGAAGAAAAGATCAATAGTTCAACTTGCTTCTTTTCAACAAAAACCATCTAAACGTTACATGTGTACTGAACTTTTACAGGCATTATAAAAGTCATTCAGACGCAGGACTTTACTTTGTAGATATGCTATTGGTGCATGTTGTACGCATTATATCTTATAATGAACTTCTTCTTTTTTTTCTTTAAATAGACGGATTTTATTTTTATTTGCTCAAAAAAGAAAACAAAAGGCATTAAGGTAATTTTGTATTATTATTATTGTTGTTTATGCAACTTGTACGACGTAAGAGGCAATTCCACAAGTATTTTGTCCACGTAGAATACGTATATAACCTTTTTCACCCCAATTAACGCCTATGAAAAAAGGTAGTCGACAAATCAACCTATATTCAATTTAAACTTACCCCAACTGTTTTTGCATATCCAGAAAAGGTCTCCTGAAGCTGTTTTACCGTAACCAACAAGTTGTAACTATTTGTAATTAAGAAATTTAAAATTTGTAGAATTTCACACTTAAATTGTTATTTATAGTACTTACCACATGATCAATCACTGTTTTAGAGCAAGATTGATCGTTATAAATACCTAAAAGAGAAAGAACAATAGAAATGAATCTAATAAAATCAATGAACATGTCTCTGACCGCTCTGATAAACTTGAAAGGAAGTTTGACTTGCGTCGACACCAACAAACAATGTAGAGCTTTGGATCCATGTTACCATAGTATTTTCGTCTCGATTTTTAAGTCGCATGATTTTATCGAACTAAAGTTCAACAATAGTAAAATTCGAATGATGGACAGTTTGTTTTAATAAACAAGAAAATCGTTTTTCGAAACTTAAACTATATTCAGTCACACATGTGAAAGTCTTTTAAGATTTGTTGTTCCTAAAAATGAATCGTTTTTTGTACCAAAGCGTGAAATATTATTTGTATTTATAGAATCAGAAATTCATTGTTATCTCTCACGTCAGTGAGCTAATATATGGCACAATGACGCTATGCTTCAATAAGTATATAGATATACACATACATGAGCAAATGGTGTACATTGATTTGGTATGCATTGACCAGTAGGTGTCGGATAATCAGCAGCACGACATATGCCACCCAGTTTCTTGATGCATTGAAAAGGATCAACTGGTTGTGGACAACAGTCAGCGACACGAGCAACACTACCTTCTACGAGTTGTCCTGTTTGAATAGCATGCAAGCTTTCAATAACTTCTGCAATAGTTATTTTTCTATGACATAACTTTGACTATTAAGATCTTATAAACGCTCACCTACAGTAACGATGGCTTCAACGTCTGCGAGAACACCTTGGTTTTGCACTGGCGAAATGACACCTTTCGTACGCCAATCGAATGAATCAGGTACATCGGATGATTCAAGAGAATTTCCCATATTTCCAGAATCGAGTTTAATATAGTGTTTTGAAGATGAGACAAGTTCCTAAAACAATCGATTTTATTTAACGATATATATATCATCAAAGCATTCGATTTACTTCGATGCGTCGATCAGCCAAATGATTGATACCAATTGTGAATGTTGCATTTGGATGAAGTCGTTTAAAGGTACGAATTCGATTTACATTTTCGAGAAATATTTGCTTACGTTCAGCTTCCTCAGCAGCTGATTTATAATGCTTGTTATAATCACGTTTAAACTTAAACCAATCGATGGAGGAACTACTAGAAACTACATGGAGCACGACAAAAAAAATGAATAGCTAAATGCACAAAAAACAATACGTTTTGTTCATCACATTCTTAAAATTACAAACATCATGAAAGACTTACTTTGATATGCATCTTTTTTTTTGTTGTATACGACAACAGGTGTTAATAGTGATATATATATATATATATAAAAGGATATATTTATAGATATCGTGTTAAACAAATATTCGATAAGAGAATAGATTACAGCGAAAGAAATGCTGAGACATGATTAGATTGCATCGTTTTAATGATGTTAACTGTTTTCTTATCTCCAAGTTCACTAGATTTCATGATGATGAGAAAAGCCCTCTGATGCAGGCAATATGAATTACCTAATAAAATGATTTGTACATTTCGTGTCAATGGTTATTGTCTATAAGAGAATGTTATTAAATCATGAACAGCATTAAAAATTTAAGTTATGAAGAGAAGTTTTTCAGCTTGGCCTTATTCGATACTCTTCATCTAAGTTTGATTCTTTTTCTCCGAATATTTTTTTTTTACAGATTTATTTCCAGCAAAGAGTGAGAATATTCTAAAAATACATGTCTTATATAGTATGAATATTTACTTCTTGTTAAACAAATAAAAAAATGAGATCATATTATTCAATATACACTATCTTCATACTAAAAGCTACTTGGAAGTTTCACTTTTGCCAGATAGTATTTAAATATTTTGCTGAGTACCAATGGATTTTCTATATATGGGAACATAAAAATAATTTCACGAATTAATTGTAATAGAGTCAATCTGTTATATATAGTCAATCTACCGATTATTTTCTTTCTCATCAGTGTTCATTCTATGTTTCCTCTTTGCGCCATCATTGGTTTGTTGTATTCGAATCTGTTGCAAATAAGAATTGTCAACTGAAGAAGGATTGATTGGTACAAGAAAAACTAAACAAGATGTTGTTTGACCAAGAAATACATATTTATATTAGAACAGCATAAACTTTATCAAGTGAACTAATAATCACCATTAATTGAACACTTTCTCGCTCGAATAATTTTATTAATAATATATTTGATAACAATTGACAACAATGAATAATGATCCAACTTTATGTATACATTTCCATGAATATAAATTCGGTTGCCAAAATCAACGAATAATACCATGAACCAATAAAAGTTATAAAGAAGCACTTAAAATATGACAATTCATAACAAAATATGGTATTTTCGTATTGAGTAATTGCTTTTGTCAAAGCTGATAGAGACGCTAAATCAATAATAAAATAATAATAATAAGGTAAACTAAGTACAATAGCAACTATGATCATTATTGAACTTAATTTGTATTGTTGGATATTATTGTTGTTGATTGCATATGCGACGTAAAGTTGTGAGAAAAACTGTTGACGGCGTAGTAAGTATATATTCAACAATACAAATAATTAGTGAATAAATATTCACAATTTTTAGATGATTTATTGAAATTCGATACTTTGATAGAATACACTGCATCTATATAAGTTAAATTTGTATCACACTTGACATAAATATGTTGAATATAGAAGTAACGAGTTGTCCATTTGCATCAAATACATTCAAATTTTTATAAAAGATAGTAAATACGCCAAAAACAATAGATAGACTTTAAAGAAATCGAACAATCATAGTATCAAATATATCAGCTAGCATTACTCTGAGAGCAAACACACAACAAAGCGATAATGAAGTTTTCGGTTAACATATACTAAATTCCAGAATGTTCATTCTAGCAATAATATATGGTTTACATAAACAATAATGAAACTTTTTTTCTTACTTTGCTTTTCCTCAGTGATATTCACAGAAAATACAATAAAATGGTAGCTGTTGTTGCTCATCACACAGATGGGTGAGTCCGAGTCATTCATTCATAAAAGTAAAAGTTGATAATTTAGCGCCAAAATCAGTTTAACAAGAAACTGATGGTTTTTGGACAGGAAGAAAATTTAACTAGTGATCTATTTTTCAGAAAAAACGAGATTCATGTCAATCTCCTAATAGGTTTGCTAGTTAAGTTCTGTGTGTTCCTGCTGCATCAGTATCAATTGAACGTATATTTTTTTCAAACAATCTCTGAATAAGATCTCACCGTTCACATTTTTCACAAACAAACATTTGCATTTAAACATCTTCAACGTTCAAATAATATAGTAATTGTAGCGTTACTAAATATTTTGTGCTTATAAGCGACTTTATGTTTAGGTTTTTCTTCATAAAAACTGATGTTTTACTATCTTGTGGAACAGTATGACAGAGAAAAGTTGATCTTGCTGTCTTTACTTTGTTGATAACGCTACGGTAGTTGTGTCACTTCGCTTTATGTAGGACTGTTCTTAATTTGTTTTTACGCATCAAAACTAGAAACAAAATATCGTGACATGAAAAACTTGTTGTTAACGTTCTTTATTAAAAAAAATAAATAGAAAACGAAAAAAACAGCAGAAATAACTTGACTTGAAGACAAGATAGGACCCATGCTAGGGCTATAGATAATTCGTTACATACAATTTCACTTCAGAATAACAATGACGTAACTTTAGCTTTAGTTTCGTATACTATAAAAACTATCATGTTTTATTCATAGATATGACGGGAAAAGGGTGCATTGCATATCCACCAATTTAAAAGCGAAAAGAAAAATAATGTTTCATTAAGACTCCGTTCACGTGCAAAACACGAGTGCAATATAGAATGCACTCGTCATCTATGTATATAATGTTCAGTTTATATGTGGATGTGTCTGTGCCGGGTCAACGATTAAAGGTATAGATTCAAAGGTCAGGTGTGGTAGAGTGTAGGGTGCCCTGCAATGAGAGTGATTAGATGGGACTGATGCAGGATATGCTGCAGTGAGAGTGGGTGAATGAGGGCTGGTGTAGAGTAAAGATGTTCAGTGTGGAGATGAGCGGGGCGATATTACAGTAAAGAGATGAATAGGTGTGATGCGAGGGTGAGGAAGGTGTGGTATGAAGGTGTGGGGTTATGAGTGAGTGTAGTTGAGTGAGAGTGGATGTGCGTATGATTTCGCGAGCAAGTGAGTAAGATTACGGTTGTATTGAAGATCATGAAGTAGCAACCATACCACACCGACATCTAATATACTTATTACAAACCTATAACCATCCACATGCACTTACATAAATAACTTGTATAGAAATAGTGGAGATAAGAACTTTAACCATATCTTTCTCAATTTCCTTACCATCGAGAAAAGTTTGGTTTTGTGATGAAAACAAACGAGCGTGCAGTATGTAGGTGTTCTCACTAGTATACAATATGGTCTGTTTCTCACTAAATACAGATGTGTGCATAGGTGTTATGATGTAAGCGTCTGTCTTAAATATTTTCGTCTTAAGAGAATACTGGAAATGGAGAAAAAGAAACAATTCAGTGAGATATTGTATTAAAAAAATAAGTGAAGATGGAAAAGATGATTCTTTTATAATCGAACGTTTTTTGATATAGAACTTTCTTTCTTTAAAACTTCCACTATTAGTTAACCACAAATGAAAATATTGAATGAACTTCGTGAAAATAATGATAGATTGGGTTTTGAAGTTTTGTTATGGCTAATACAAAAGTAATCTCTCTAATGATTGAAACCTTCCATTAATACGATTTCCTGTGCTTTAAAATTTTTTTTAATCGAAGTGTATCATTAAACTACGGTGGCTTAAATTCGATGTAAATCAAGGTAAAAAACTAATAGGGCTCAATTGTTTAGGACAACATGAAAACAAGCTGTATTCACACAATATTTCTTAAGTAGACAAGACTTTCTGACAACTCTGAAAAAAGTAACTTTTGCATCTTCAAAATGTCTAAAAGTTTTTCTTAAAATATTTTTGATATATATCACGCACAAAAAGCTCATTTTTATGTGCAAAATGTGTCAAAATATTTCTGGGACAAATTTTGGATATTGTGGCGATTTAGAGATTGGCTTTCTAAGTATTTTCTCAATATATGTGAAAATGTTGAAACAAAAACTGCGATTAGAACATTTTAATGCATTTATGGAAATTTCCGTCGATATCAATCTTTAATTTCCATGGGTATTTTCTGAAATGGCAGATTGCCTGTTAACCATAATCGTTCATAACAAAATTTATGTAAATATCGAATAAATTAATCCTCACAAACATTTTAGAATTCAGTCAGCTGTAAAGACCTTCTTTTGTAGGTATACGATTTGTCCATAATACACATGCTATATATATATTCATGAGCATTTGATTTTTGTGAAAATCACATATATTTTAGAGGAAAATAGCGATTGTCAGTTTAAATCAAGATTTTGCGGCTTCTTGTCTCCTTCAGGCCTCGACAACAGGAGGTGGAAGAAGAAAGACCAAAAATCAGATAGTACACAAGCGATCTTTAACAAAAGCAAACTAAAGATTGTGAATTTAGGTTTGTTTTCTTCGATTATGATATGTTCTCTTTTTTTCACCCGCTTGAAGAAACGCATACGAATCAATGTAAAATATAAAACGTTTCAATTGAAACAATAGTTGAAATTGAAAGATTTGCTTTATTATAAGTAATTGTTTATAATTGAAGATCTAATACTAAAGTTACGAAATCAAATACTATAAGATACACATGTACTATTTACCAGACAATAATACGAGTCTAATTAAAAGACTACTTAAAATTTTATATTAAATGTTATACTATATATATATGATCATTGTTTTGTATTTTCATTATTAATCTGCCTCATATTAACACTTGTAATATGAATTAGTTGTTCAATAACAATGTCAAGGCTGAAATTATTTTTACAGTCTACTGAACAATATGATTTTTGATCATCATCAACAATAAAATTGAATTCTTCTCCAGACCAGTTACATGTTGTATATAACGTTATTTGAAGCATGCGTAAAAACAATTTTAATTTTTAATTAATGAAGAATATAAAAATATGTACTTGTACAATACATGTTTTATAAATTGCCAAAAAAAACCAATCGAAACAAAAATCAATACAGGCACCACTAACTCATATGTTAAACTAATCAGAGGCTTTTTACTGATCTTCAGGATATAACATGATCTTACAGCAAAATCTAGTAATTATTTCAAAGATCTACCATAAAACTATGTAATATAATACGAAGACACATTTTGAAGTGTATGTCTTGCACAGAATATTTCAACCGAAAGTCAACTATGCAGACCCTCACTAAAAATGTTCCTTTATATAAAACAACAATCTTCTCAGAAAATTTTTTAACCTATTTTAAAAATTTAATTTCTTTTTTTTCTAAACTTGAATATAGTGACTTATCATTAAGTCTTTTTATGTAGACAATGTCAGTAAATTAAATATTTACTTATATAAATACAACTGTTCGAAAAAAACTAAATATTTATCCTGACATAGGCGGCAGACATTCGTTCCAAAAATAACTATTTGTTTAATAAAATATTACTCACTCAGCAAACAGATACTATGCTAAATAATCATGTTCATTTTTTTACGTTAATTGATACATTTCGTAATTATCAACGAAATTAATTATTAATATCAAATACTGAAAGAGTGCATTTAAATCATGGTGAATCATACCTAAAAAAACGTTTCTAATATATATCTAATATCTATCACTTGGCTACGAAAAAACAAAGTATAATACAAAACAGAGTTTGCGGTTTTCGTATTTTACCATCAGAAGGGGCTACACTGAAAAGTTTTGCTGTATATGGATATGTTCTCTTTTATTTCGCCGAAAAAAAACGACAAAAAACGTAAAAAGATTATTTTATATTATGATCATTGTTTATGCAACTTGTACGACGTAAGAAGCAATGTCACAGGTGTTTTGCCCACGCAAGATACGTATGTATCCTTTTTCACCCCAACCGACACCTATAGAGAAAGGTACTCATTAAATCAATCTATATTCAATGCAAACTTACCCCAACTATTTTTGCATATCCAAAATAGGTCTCCCGAAGCTGTTTTTCCGTAACCAACAAGTTGCAGCTACTCACAAATAAGAAATCAAAAGTTTTGCAATATTGTTCTAATAAATTTATCTAAAATATATATACCGCATGATCGATCACTGTTTTTGAGCACGATTGATCGTTGTAAATGCCTAAAAGATAACAGAACAATAACGATCAATGTTACAAAATCAATAAGCATGTCTTACCACTTTGATAAAGCTGAAAGGAAGCTCGGCTTGCATCGATACCAACATACAATGTAGAGTTTTGAATCCATGCTACCATAGTATTTTCATCTCGATTTTTAAGTCGCATGATTTTATCAAACTATAACCAAACAAAAGTGAAACTCGAACGATGGACAGATTATTTGATAAAAAACGCAATCGAACTCAGAAACTTAAAATGTTTTGAATCAAAGATGCAATAACCTTTTAAGATTTATTGCACCAAAAATGAGTAAACCTTCATAGCAAGCCATGAGAGATTTTTTTATTCGTAGAATCAAAAATTCATTGAAATGTCTTAGTGAGATGAAATATAGAACGATGAAACTATGTTCCAATAAATATATGAAAGTACCTACATGAGCAAATGGTGTACATTGATTTGGTATGCATTGACCAGTAGGTGTCGGATAATCACCAGCGCTACATATGCCACCTAGTTTCATGATGCATTGAAATGGATCAACTGGTTGTGGACAACAGTCGACGACACGAGCAATACTTCCTGCTACCACTTGTCCCGTTTGAATAGCATGCAAGCTTTCAATAACTTCTGCAATAGTTATTTTTCTATGAAACGACTTTGACTATTAAGATCTTATAAATGCTCACCTACAGCAGCGAAGGCTTCTGCATCTCCAACTACACCTTGATCTTTTACTGGTGAGATGACGCCTTTTGTACGCCAATCGAATGAATCAGGTACATCGAATGATTCAAGAGAATTTTCCATATTTGCAGAATGGAGTTTAATATAGTGTTTTGAAGATGAGACAAGTTCCTAAAACAATCGATTTTATTTAACGATATATATATATCATCAAAGCATTCGATTTACTTCGATGCGTCGATCAGCCAAATGATTGATACCAATTGTGAATGTTGCATTTGGATAAAGTCGTTTAAAGGTACGAATTCGATTTACATTTTCGAGAAATATTTGCTTACGTTCAACTTCCTCAGCAGCTGATTTATAATGTTTATTATAATCACGTTTAAACTTAAGCCAATCGATTGACGAACTACCGGAAACCACAACCAGTAAGACAGAAAAAATAATTAACTAAATATACAAGAAAAGACACGTTTTGATTATCACATTCTTAAAATTACAAACATCATGAAAGGCCTACTTTAATATGCATCTTTCTTTTGCTGTATATGACAACAGGTGTTTAAAGTGGCATATATATATATATACATATATCGCGTTAAACAAATATTCGATAAGAGAATAGATTACAGCGAAAGAAATGCTGAAACATGATTAGGTTGCAGCATTGCAATAATTTTAACTCTTTTCTTACGTCAGAGTAGACTACATCCGATGACAATGACGAATGCTTTGTGATGCAGATAATATGAATTATATGATAATATTATTTGTGAATTTTGTATAGATGGTTATTCTGCATATGAAAGTGTTATTGAAGGACGAACAGCATTGAACATTTGAGTTATGAAGAGAAGTTTTTGAGCATGTTTTGATTATATTTTAAACAATTGATCTTATTCGGTATTGTTAATACAAGTTGAATCCTTTTTTTCTCTTCATATGGTTGTAAATATTTATTCTTAGGAAATAGGGTAAGTATTCTAAAGATGGATATCTTACAAAGTACACATGTATTTTTTCTTAGTCTAAATAAAAAATGAGATCGTTCGTACTGTTCAATATTTACAATCTTCATACAATAGTTAATTTGAAATTTCGTCACTAGTATGCAATTAGACAAGAATTTTTGAAAACTCATTCGAACACTCTAATCGTAGTTTTCGTTTGATCGTATTCACGTTCATTGAAAGAAAACCAAAACCAGTTACTTTCGTCATGAAACATTGTGTGAGAACACTAAAAAACAAGTTTTACATTGTCACAATGTCGAATAAGTTGTCTTGCAATACTTTCGATGTACGTCATGCATAAAAACTTTATTTCTTATCTGCATAACCTGTCTAAATATTGAAGAACACTTTTTTTGGACGTTTAATCGATGCAGATGTTGCCTTTGTGAGCATCTTCAGGCAAAGCTCATGATGAAAGTAACTAGATTTTGTGTTTTTTGAATAGACTTGATAACGCTCAGACGCAACTGCGATTATAGCGCTTAAATGCATGTTCAGAAATTCTTGCCTGCTTGGTTTATGTAAATATCAATCTTTAACTTTTGTAAGTATTTTCTACAATGAAAGATCTAGTATTTACTTGAATCCTGTACAACGAAAATTATCTAAATCGCGAATATACTAAACGTTACAAGTCGTACAGAATTGAGACATGTTAAGATTTGCTATCTAGATATACCAATTGCTTATATTTTACATATTACGTTTAATGATGAAATTTTTGTTATTTTTTCACTCTAAATATGTTTCTTTTTTATTAGTCTGCAAAAAGAATCAAAAGTAAAGCAGGTCATTTTGTATTATAATTATAGTTTATGCAACTTGTACAACGTAAGAGGCAATGCCACAAGTATTGTGTCCACGTAAGATACGTATATATCCTTGTTCACCCCAACTGACACCTATGAGCAAAAGTAACCGATAAATCAACGTATATTCAATGCATATATAATGTTCCATAAGTCGTGAGATGTGACAAAATTAGTTTATATGCAGACAGAAAATAATGCTCAACTGCATTTTTTTAATAGGAATCTTGAATACTCGTGTCAATTTTTTTGAAATGGCATGACTAGATAATATATTCTGTTGTAATAATAAAAATATAAATACGAGAATGTGAGGATAAATTTCTCGCATTCGATTAACGTGATTGTTTTTAAAGATTCTTTTTAAAACAAAGTGTTGAATGTTTCTACGTTGCACATGCCATAATAAAAACTAATAATTATTAATCTTATTTGTTTAGTCAGCTTATATCATGATCCACTATTTACTTGTTCAGCCAAGTTCCGTAATCAGTCAACGAATTATAATGAGTAAAATATATGAAACTATCGCGTCCAGCGCGAAAAATAAAATCTAGCGATGAATTATTTAATAACCGACTTTTACCTTCAAATGTTAACAATAAATGTTCTGACACGTTGTTCATTGAAAGTATATGGAGAAAATTAAAGAAAAAACTAGGACAAGAACAATTTACAAGCTGTTCACAATTAAAAACTATATTTAAAAGAAAACCATGCAAACAAAAATTTGTAATGATTAATAAAATTTTTAAGTGACTTGGCGAATTAATAAAATACGATGAACAACAAACACACGATAGTTCAATGAGACTTTTTATGTAATCATATTCGCATCTGTATTTACAAACCAGTGTTTTTCGTTTGTTTCTAATAAAATACCTTATTGATCGATTGCAAAAAAGAATTTATACTCACATTCTCATATTCACATTTTAATTATTACAAGAGAAGAGATTATCGAATATACATGTCATTTGAAAGACTGATATAAAAACATTCCATTAAGAATTATTTTCTGGCTGCATATAAACTGATGTTGTCGAGCTTCAAACTTGTGAAACACTCTGTACTTACCCCAACTATTTTTGCATATCCAAAACAGATCTCCCGACGCTGTTTTCCCATAACCAACAAGTTGCAGCTACTCATAAATAAGAAATCAAAAGTTTTACAATATCGAACTAATTAAGCTATATAAAATATGTACCATATGATCGATCACTATTTGAGAACAGGACTGGTCCTTATAAATACCTAACAGATGGTAGAATAATAGTCATCAATGTAATAAAATCGATGAACATGTCTCACCGCTTAGATAAAATTGAAAGGAAGGTTGGCTTGCATCGACACCAACAAATAATGTAGAGTTTTGAATCCATGTTACCATAGTATTTTCGTCACGGTTTTTCAGTCGCATGATTTTATCAAACTATAACCAAACAACAGTAAAACTCAAATAACATAGTATTGTGTTTTTTTAAATAAGTATATTGTTTTTGAAACTTGAAATATATTCAAGAAAAAGGTCTGAAAGTCTCGTAAGATTTGTGACACAAAAATGAATGAATCTTGATAGCAAGCCACGAAAGATTTTTTTATTCGAAGAATCAAAAATTCATTGAACCGCCTCAGTGAGATGAAATATGGAACGATGAAACTATGTTTCAATAAATATATGAAAGTACCTACATGAGCAAATGGTGTACATTGATTTGGTATGCATTGACCAGTAGGTGTCGGATAATCACCAGCGCTACATATGCCACCTAGTTTCATGATGCATTGAAATAGATCAACTGGTTGTGGACAACAGTCGACGACACGAGCAACACTTCCTTCTATCAGTTTTCCCGTTTGAATAGCATGCAAGCTTTCAATAACTTCTGCAACAGTTATTTTTCTATGAAACGACTTTGACTATTAAGATCTTATAAATACTCACCTACAGCAGCGAAGGCTTCTGCATCTCCAACTATACCTTGATCTTTTACTGGTGAGATAACGCCTTTTGTACGCCAATCGAATGAATCAGGTACATCGAATGATTCAAGAGAATTTTCCATATTTCCAGAATGGAGTTTAATATAGTGTTTTGAAGGTGAGACAAGTTCCTAAAACAATCGATTTTATTTAACGATATATATATATATATATATCATGAAAGCATTCGATTTACTTCGATGCGTCGATCAGCCAAATGATTGATACCAATTGTGAATATTGCATTTGGATGAAGTCGTTTAAAGGTACGAATTCGATTTACATTTTCGAGAAATATTTGCTTACGTTCAACTTCCTCAGCAGCTGATTTATAATGCTTATTATAATCACGTTTAAACTTAAGCCAATCGATTGACGAACTACCGGAAACCACAACCAGTAAGACAGAAAAAATAATTAACTAAATATACAAAAAAAGACATGCTTTATTTATCAAATCCTTAAAATTACAAACATCATGAAAGAGTTACTTTGAAATGCATCTTTTTTTTTGCTGTATATGACAACAGGTGTTTTACGTAACATATATATATATATCTGCTTCTAAACAAATACTCGATAAGAGAATAGATTACAGCGAAATAACTAGTAAAACATGCTTAAATTGCATCATTTTAATAATAGAACTCTTTTCTTTTGTCAACTCTCACTAAATGCAATAGTGATGGTAAAAGTCGACTATTATCCTCCATAAGAAAGTGTTATTGAAGAACGAACAGCATTGAACATTTGAGTTATGAAGATAAATTTTTCAGCGTCTTTTGATTATATTTTAAACAATAGATTTTATTCGATATTGTTTCTTACAGATATAATATACAGTATGGTGTGCTGCCTAACAGTAGACTCAATAGCTCGATATCTTCTCTAGAATCACAAGAGCTGATGTATGTCACAATGTAATCAGCATACTATCGCAGATGAGTGATTCGAGACAAATAGGTATTAGTAAATTATTCAGGATCAGTTCATGGGTGACGATATCGAGGTTTGCACAAAGTACCTTGTAAGTACGTGTCGAACAACGTAGCCACTTCTTCATGATGGTGTGAAAAAAATTGAGTATGACATTGGTTAATGAAATATTTGATGTGATTGCGATTGAAAAGAATATACAAGTGTATATATTAGAATACAAGCATAGTCGTGATTTTTTCAATATGATAAAATGAATGTTTCTGAGTATTGAGCCGCTACTAGTTAAGATAAAATTAATATGGTATATTCTTTACCGACTTTAAAAAGACAACAAAAAATGAATATCTTCACCATTCGTATGACTTTCTAGAGATCATTTGTGAAATAACTTGAATAGGTCTTTAAAAGCTTATTTTTTAGTGGCAAATTCCACAGATATTGGTTTCTTTTATAAACTATCCGTGATTGGTGAACAACAGCGAAATGTACACCTTGTTTCAGAAGAAATTACTGAGATTTTTTTTTTCAAGGTAACATAGAAGAAAATGATCATTCTTTAACCAAAACATTGACAAGTTTTTATAATCGTTCGATAGGGATCAGAATATTACATATGTATTTAAAAATTGCGAAATTTAAGCAATCTCATTGATTTGTTTTGATGCAATAGAAATAAGAAGGGCTCTGGAATTCCTTTTATTGACGGATGCTTAAGGATTGCGATGAATTTCGATGGCAAATATGTCAAGTCAATGATGCACACAACAGACACTTCCTTAAATAACTAACATTACTATTATATAAGAAAGAAAATAGAATATAAACTTGTCAATATAAAATTGCAACGTAAAAAAACTTATACATTCCTATTAATATCTCTATTGACTTTTGGCAAAAGCTAAACATCTATAGTAGAATATGAAATTCAAGAAGGTAAAATAGTTTGATAAATACCAATAAATTCTCTGTGCCTATGTACTAGAATCCATGTTTTTGGAATCATCAGAGCTTTAATCAGTTTATATTATTTTTCTCTATTGTGTGATTATTATAACAGTTTTCATTTTATCCAACAGTGACACGATATTTTTAGATATGATTGATCTGAATATTATCATCTTCCAAAATATGACTAGCGTTTTTTCTACTTAATATGTCTCTGTTAATTTCATCATTAGCTACGAAGCGTCAATTTTTTAGTGATAAGTATTGACTGCAAAATTTTCATCCTCACTATTTTAATTATGTTAAAATTATGAACAGTATAATGAAATTGCTTATGACGATCGCAGTATTCATGAAACAGGTTTTGCTATACTTTTTCATCAACAAATTAAGAACAATATTTGTATAAGCTATTACTACGATTGTGTATTTGTAATTATAAATTGAAAGTTTGCATACATATAAATGGTGTACGATAGTCGACTCTTAAGAAACGAGAATTTCCTACGCAATATGCTTATTCTCTAATGAAGCAATTTAGATTTTTTGTTATTAATAACAAAAGAAAATTAGTTATATTAAATATTTTTATATATTTGTCACAAACATATATTCCATATTCTCATAAAACACAACAATGTTGAACAAATGGAATCTTGAAAATTTGAAAAGATCGCTTCTTAAAGTGATGAATCTGCAGCCTAATGATGTTATCTAAACAGTTTCATGTCTAAGAGTCTACGTCATACAGCACCAACGGTGTAATCCAACAGACATCTACAATTTGACTTTAGTATGTTCATAATAGGATCCTTTTTTTAATGGATAATTTTTTTTTTCTCATGACAAATACAGACCTTGAGTGAGCTTCAAAGTAATTTTCTATCTTTATAGAAAACAGCAAAGTCTATTACGACATGTCTTGTTCAATAAAGTGACATGACTTGTTAGAATCGCACGTTTTCCATTCTTTTGATATTATATAATGTATAAATTAAATATAAGACATTATAATATAGAATCACAATAGAAGCAAAGACAACAAAAAACAATGTCAATAGTTTTAAGTCAAGAAATAATTTAACATAGATAGTTTTTTTGTTGATAACTATCTTGTATTCAGTGTTGCTTGTCGCTGCTAGACATATTATTTGCATTGTTTGACAAAGTATCTAACTTCGTTGCAGATGTCAAATAACTTGTTCCTAAAATTAAATAAGTAAATTTGTCAAATATGGCAAAAAAGAAAAAAAATTCATAACATTGATTCACAACAAAATGCCATGAGTTATCACAATACTCAAATGTTTTGTATTTGAACCTTGAATAAGTGACACAGGTAGAATATTTCGAATAATACGTCTCAAAATCATATGCAAACAATGATCGCATTTTTCTTCGGAGACTAAACACTCAATCAGTAATGAAATTCATTCAAGTCTATAATATTTCAATTGAATTAAGAAATCATTATGGACATATTCCATGATCTTCACATTCTTGAACAATTTAAATATTTGACAAGACGACTGTTTATTATCGATAACAAACAATGAATCTAATTTATTATCCAAAATTCAAGTTTACATATATCCCAAACCATTATTCAATCAAAATATGACAAAGTTTTATAGTTTCATATTCCAAATTAAACAAATTTTATGATATATTATGTGTAAAATGGTAGTGGACTCTATAACGTAGAGAAAACTTGTGTTAGTTCAAGATTTTTTGAATGAAAAAATTATGATACCTGTATGACCACTTTTGTCTCCGTGGTTAATTGTTTCATGCTTATTTAATTGAGATTGTGGAAGATCAGATTTTCGTCGGACACCTTGTGCACCAGCTTTTCCTTGTATATCTGAATTTTCGAAAGCTCTTGGATTATGAACTGTTCGTATTATTATTGTCACACCAGCGAATTCTTTGAATTCATGTACATATGACTCGTCAGATGCTACATAAGATAAATATAACAAAATATTCGATATAATAATCGAAAGCTTTCAACACGATAAAGCGTCATTAGTATAAACAGTTTTGAAAAACATTTTTCTATAATCTGAATCATAAGTTAATTCCAATGTTTCAAGAACTAATGTTTTCTGAAGAAAATAAATTAATGAGAAGAAAAAAAAAAGAACAAATCAATGCTTAAGATTAAAAAATGAGTAAAAAATCTATATCCATTATGATTACCTTTTTCTTGTGCATCAACATAGAGCGATTTCTCTGCATCAGATTTACGATGTGAATTTGCAATGATTGAAGCATCAAATTTTTTAACAGTAACCATATTTTTATGAATCTCTGACTTGTCATGTGCTCCATTATTTGTTTCGTTGCGTTTAGTCGTAAACCTCTTTTTTTCGAACGATGGAACGTTCGAACTTTTGCCATGACTATTTGAAGACAAAGACATTCTATTTAAGATTGTTTTTTTTTTCACACTGGAACGATCTGAATTGTGACAATCTTCAATTATAATTAAACTACATTTATTCATAACTATATAATAAATATCGTGAACGTTATGTTTTACGTTATAGTAATGAGCTTTAAGATTATTATTAGAAAAAAATGAACGGGAAAAAAAAAGTAAACTTAAGTATGATTTCGCCTGAATTTTGTTGATTCTTTAGAAGGATATATTCTTTGATGTCCTTCCATAGAAAATCTTTTTCTGATGAAATAGTTGGTTAAGTTTTTTTGGTAAAAATAATTAAAAAAAAAAAAAAACAAGATGTATTTTTTGCTCATGTAAGCGAATTCAAATTGTCATCACAAATAATTAAAAAACAGAAAAAAAATAAAAAGATATAAAAAGAAACTTTGAGAGTGCTTCATATATTAAGTCGAAGAAATGAATAATAGAAGTATTGTAAAATTTCTTGATACATGCATAATTATCATCATAACAGATATTGTCTTGAGTAGATGATAAATCCAGAATAATCACACATCTGGACAGCACTTCTTGTTTTAGACTTTGTTTAAAATTTTCTTGAATTGATTTTGTAACTAACGAGTTACGAATGTCAATAAATGAGCGAAAGACATTTAAACTAAGTCATGAATAATTGCTATTAGAATGTATTACATAAGGAAGTCTCGTTTTTGAACACAATGGTTTGTTGTAATTATTTAGAAATTGATAAATAACAATCATATAATCACTTTGTTTATACTACTGGAAAAAGTATATGAACGAACACCATAGTCAATTCAGTTCAAAGTGTTATATTCATACAATTAACGGTAAATATTCCATTTGAAAATGTTCCTTTGTGAAATCGATTTTTTCGAAAATTTTGTTTTGTATGATATTGAATGTAGTCACATCAAATCATATGCTTATCAAAATGACAAGTTCTCAAATACTATCGATATTGAACAAGTTAAGAAAAATCAGAAAATGAATGAATTGACTCCAAAAACTACGAATATATTTAAACACTTTCCTTTTGATTTTCTTTTCGTCTTATATAAAAAATCTCTAGGTCAATTTATATTCGGTGAAGTACTAAAGACTAATATTTTTTTATCTTTTTTAATTTATTATATAAAATTTATATTCTATTTTTTTCCTGTTACATACAGAAAGAATTAATTTTTTTTGTTATTGTTGATTTGTTGACAAAAACATTAATATCATGCAAAACTAAATAAGAAAAATACATTTGCTTCTGAACAATTTATTTAGACTAATAGCATTTCTTCCAATTTCAATAACCATCGATTTCTTGTGTATAGAAATCGTAATGTTAATAAGCAGTTTTCTCAAAGATAACTCATAGACCTTGACTAAAATGGTGTTTTTTTGTTTAACATTAAAATGAAATGGATTTCGATAATAATAGTTCTTCGTTTTTCACGACATAATATTCTAATAAAACTTTTAGAGATAAACAATTTGATGCTTTTAGAATAAACTTTATCAATCTCATTGCCGACATTCATGAACCTGAAGAAAAATAGAGTCACATGAGTAAAATTTAGTCAAATAAAATGCCTTGAAAGAAGAAAACGACGTGAAGAATTTTATTATATATATATATCTATACAGTAAACTGTACAAATACAAAAACCAAATAATAAATAATGCATGGTGCTAATGCATGAAAATTCATTGCTGAAATATTTTTAATAAGACCATAGTGACATTAATTTTTCTTGTTCTTCTTTGATCTTGCGTTGGGAATGTTTTATCAATCTTGTGATTTTGCCATTGCAGTCGCACCTTTCTTTTCTACAACACAATTAAATATATATAATGATCACCTAGTCTTGCATCCATAACACATAAAAAGTTCTTTGCAAAATTTTTGAAACTAGAATTCATTATCTTCTTTTTATATGATAGAATAATTTTTAATGAATGTTCGAAATAGTTCTTATTATAAAGCTATATTTAGTGACATATACTGCTAACAAATGATTATTTAGATTCTGTCAGAAACATATAACTTTAGAAATTCCACAATAATTGAGAACATTAATTAAAACAAGATAGAAACTATGCAACTGCTAGATCAACGGAAGTTGAGATTCTTTAAGCAGCAAGATCAAATGAACTATATCAAAACATTTCTGTAGTTATAAAATTGTGTAATACATAAGATTACATTCAACTGAGCATTCAATTATAGTACCTGTATTACCATCCTTTTCTCGATCACTTTTCTCGTGTTTAGTTTTGTTTGATTTATTTGTTTGTGATTTTTGACCATCAGATTTCTTAGCTGTACTGTGAGTACCACTTTTTCCATGTGAGTCTGAACGGTCATGTTTTGTTTTTTTTCCGTCTGTGTGTGCTTGTGCTTTAGTATGAGGATGAGAACCATGATTGGCTGGTACTCCACGAGATTTTGACGTTGCATTGGTATGTGCATCTTCAGCTACGATATAGAAAGAATAAATTCAAAGGCCTAGAAACTTCGAAAAACAGAGTATAAGTTGATAGTAAACAGATAAAAATTATTTACGTTATGTATATGAATGATATTTAAGTGAAAAATGCTTTCTTTCTTTTAAAAAGCTGATAAATATGATGTGCTATTTTTTTTAAGAAAAATAAGAAAAAGACAACGTCTATAAAAAGTTTTGAAGATATAATATGCTGTCTATATTGAAAAACTAAGCATACATTACTTCTCATATTTATAATTGTTACCTGCGCGTGTAGTTTTTGCACGTGTATTAACGCTGGTATGTTTCTTGCCATCTAATTTACTATGTGCACTTGTATGATCAACAGACTTAGATTTTCGAAGAGTATTTTTGTGTCCAGAAATTTCTGTTTTGCCATGTGTTCCATTCTTTGTTTCAGTATGTCCAGACATATGTTTGTTCTTATCAGAATGTGTCTTATTAACATGACCAGCATCAGATGCTTTGCGATGTATGTTAGGTGGTAAAGACATATTTCCTCAATTGCTTTTTCCAATTAAAATGACAATCTATGTTTTTCTTTCTAGTATACCGTTTTTATGAAATAAACGACGTTCGACCGTCACTATTTACAGTCGAGGTAATATTTCTCAATGTCGCACAATACTAATAGTAGATATTGTTTTCCGTCGTAATATAATAAACTGAAAGAAACTATTGAAAGGCAATTGAATACAGAAAAATATTAGAAAAAAGAAAAAAGAAATCGACAATTGTATGGTGTTTCGTGACTTATTAAAATTTATAACAACAGATCCATAAATGTTTTAATATAAAATTACATTCGAAGATAGACTACGAGACATATTTCACGGTCACTAGCATTATTTAACAATCAAATATGTTTAACTATAAATTCAATCATGAAAGATATTTCGAACATAAACTAATGGTTGAAATATTCATTGCGACCTTCAGCGTGAAATATTTACAAGATAGACTTATTCTGATTTAATATAATCGGAAAGAAAACTTAGACATCAAATATTATGAGAACTTAGATTACATTCGAGATGATTTTTACTGAGTTTAGAATGCATTGTATAAATGAAAGCAGCTTGATAATAAACTGGTCAGAATTGTTCGATCGTTTTATTTTTAATTACAATATTTTCTATATCATTATGATGAAAACGATTCTGACATGTCTACTTATTCATTGCCAATCTTACTTTATTAATGTTTCTTTATTGTTGCGTAGGTTATTTCCTTAAACATGATAATCATATTTCATTTATTTTATGTTATTATAAATGTTCTTTTCAGCTATTCTATAATATGTAACTAACGAGTAATAGTTATGAAACAAACCATATTAAGATAGAACGTAAAAAACTGCTTAGTTTTTTCTTTAAATCCTTGATGTAATGATAATACCTGAAGAATCTTTTTATAAGCCTTTATTTTTAAATTACATCACATCTTTTATTCGTCTACTTAAAAAATCATGATAGTAAATGAATAAATTTTCTTAAATTTAACTGTGCCACAATTTATTTGCCAATAGCACCAATAAGATCGTGATACTATATTTTGATCATGCTATGGTCACTATACGGTATGATAGAGATAAATATAAAATACATGATCGAATCTAAATTGAAATTAGATGAAAAAAGTTATTAAATATAAATCAATGCTTTTTATTATATAAATGAACGAAAATTATGTAAATTTTAGAATGAAAAGAAGATTCGAAATAAAATGAAAGTATTGTTCATATAACTTATTTATTGTTCATTAACTTTTTGTGACCTATCGACCTTTAATTTCAACACATTCATTAAAACGTATGTGACGTTTTTTGCAAATATTCGGTTCACAACATGGTAAGATATTCCATTTACATAAAACACAAAGACGACCATTTCTATCTCTATAATAGGTTGAATTCCAATCGTCACGTCGAATAAATGTTCGTTCTTGTTTAATAAAACTATCATCTTCAGAATCATCATTATCATCCGAAGTAAAAGCGCGTAAAAATGTATTGGATCGTTCACGACGTATTTCAATACTCAAGTCTTCATCATCTTCAAGAATGTCATCGTCTTCAGTGTCTTTAGAACCAACCGTTTTCGATACCATCATAGTCAATGTAATACAAATAATAGTCAGATAGAGACGAAAGATATCCATAACTTTTTTCGATGAATGTACACGAAAATATAGGGTATTATATATGTCAACTAACGGTTCGTTTTTATGGTAATTATATATGCATATTGGTTATTCATCTAAGCAATCTTGTATGCTTATTTTTTTTCGCTTTCTATTCTCACTTCAGATTCAATAAATAGTAATAGTATAGAGAATATTTAGCGTTCGAGCAAAAAGCAATGTCCTAATTATTCATGACCTTCTGTTTTTCAAGAAGCTATTGAAACTTATAGTACAGCAGAAAAAAAAAACAGCACTACATGTATATGTATTTAATAATGCCCATTCCATTAGTCCTTCAAATAAGAAAAGAACAAGTTATTTTCACCATATGCAGCACTTATATATATTGTTTCGAAGCATGTCTTATCACGGTACGCGTTTGACTAGACAAATGACAAGGACGTTTTGTGCTTTCATTAATACATATTCACAATAATTTAAGTTTAATTCATTCCTCACAATGGTATATTAAAGATAGAATGAAGAGAGAAAAAAAAGAAATGTGTGATATTGTTTATGGACACGAACTACTTCTGTTCTTCTACGCTGTTGCAACTTCCATGTATATTGAAATGGTTATCACGATCATCTTTATCATTGTGTATTATAATTCTAAGTCGCCTTTTCTCTTTCTGTAATATGAGAAAGAGAAAACGGAAATGTAGTATTTTTAATTATCCTTTTACTATCTTCACATACTCTCTTTCCTTTCGTCAAAATGAAAGTTGACCGTTCCGTTTATTGAATGAATGACAAGCCATCACATTTTTCTATTAAATCAGTATCAAACAGATTGAAATCTCTATTAACACATGATGATGAGTTTTCAAATAGAAATAAGTAAAACAAAGAATACAATCATTTTTCATTGACAGACCTTCTTCAATTCGATTAGTGATTAGAAAGAGGAGAAAAAAAGAAAAGACTCATACCAAGCTAAGAAATTCAAGAACTGATCACCAGTTGGTTCAATCATATTCACACGCGTCACATCATTTATTCGCCGTTCTTCTATTTACGGTGCGTGATAAAAATAACCCGCTCGAGAAAGGTTGACAGCAACACGATGGTCATTCGTTCATTAAGATCGAATTACACATATATATATGTATATTTATATATACACACATACACACACATACATGTACAAGCTCAGAAATATATATGGATTGAAGAGTTTTTATATAGATTACAAAAAAAGAAAGCAAGCCTGTCACTATTGATTTATAAGAAAGAAACATTTTCTTCAAACAGTTAGTTCGATGAACGGAAATGGGTTAGTGTAAAAGCCTTGATGAAAAGTGTTATGTTTGATTTTATTGACTTGTCGCCGGCATAGTTGATGACGACGCCGGTACTTCTTATAGTTTGACCAATTCAGACTATTCGATTGACACATACAGATGGTCAGTAGTCGTTGTCGTCTTCTTAAAAATCAAACACGAAAGCTTGCGCCTGTCTCGTCTTTACTAAGTAATTGCATTTGAACAATGATGGACATAAGCGAATGTGAGTGTCAAATCAAAACAGGAAGTCAATTTTTCTCGCTCGACTAAAGTGTTCAAGAACATGTTCATGCACATTTTCTTTTTCTTCTATTGCAAATAAATAGACATGCAATGTCCACTATTACAATTCTTGCATTTACTACTTCAATAGTGACATAGTCTGACTAATGGATTGCAAATAAGAACGAGAGAAAATGTCACCCATATCGCCCTACTGCCATCATGAATAAACCCATTGGCAATCTTCTACTGTCTATATTGTTATGTATTGTTTTATATGTATATGAATAGAGTGAGAACAACAATGAACTGTTAACTGTTTGTAACAAGTTAATCAGAAAAAGAGATCCTAGAGAAATCAGATCCTATACAAGCCTTGATTTATCTTTGAAATTTGTCGTCTGCTGCAAACATTAGTGACAGCCTTTAATGGATGAATTGATGATAATAGTTGGACCATACATACATACATACATATATACATACATACACATTTGTGTCTCTTATTACTTCTTCATTTACTTGCTTGCTGACGCACATGAAAATATGTTGCGCGGTTTTTTTATTGTTTTACTACGATTCAAAGAAGTAGATCCTAGAAACAATCAATTATTACCACTTAACCGCTTATTCCAATGATGCTTTCTACTTCATTAGATTCTTTTCTTTTTCTAGTGCTCATTATTATCATCATTATTACATAAATTCCATATGTTAATCACAATCTCATGTGAGAATTAAATATGAATTAGGAAAGAACCCTAAGGAGGTATCGTCATTTTCATCCTTCGTCTCATTATTATCGTTATAGTGAAGATGTTATTTTAAAAAGAGACCTTATGAGAATAAGTCAAGAAAATAGATAGCCAGTGGAACACAATCTCCCAACTTTACAAATACTACAACTATTACTATCATCAACTCATCAGGGTTCGATTATTCAAGCTTGATCGCTCAAGCAGACAATTCGTTTGTCACTCTACTCGCAAATGGTTGTTCATGTGTGTGTGTGTGTATGTGTGTATAGATGCATATATGTGGCATAGAGATTATTAGCTCATCGACTAACTTGTGTTCCGAGATAAATTGGCATTTAGATGATCTCTTATCGAACAACAGTACCAGTAGTCTACTCTACTTGGTCAGCAAGATACTTCCTTCCTGATACATTTTTTTCTTTTCGTTCTTTTATTGTTCAACAATGTTTTTTTCTTTCTCTCTTTTCCTCTGTCGTGCTTTCTCTCTCTCTCTCTCATTCGCATTTCTCTTTTATTCTTTTCTTTTTCTCTTACTTGCATTTTTTTGTTGAACAGACACTCGTCGATCATCGAGCACACATAACTCATACATCAGAAGCTTGTTGAATTGATGGCATTTCAAGACAGGTAAAAAACGAAGATTTCTCGCCTTTTTATTCTTACTTACATGATACTAAAGTAAAAATAAAAAGGGCAGACAGAAAAGATCAGGGTCACAGAAAACAAACGGAATTTATCATAATAACAAAACCGACAGTAGCAAAAAAGGATAGAGAGACAGAGAGAAAGAGAGAGAGAGAAGCAAATAGAGAATGAGAGAAAAAAGAAGGATAATCAGACCGGAAAAGAAACATAAACGATGCCATATAGATCAGCATCGTTATTGTCTTTTCTCATTATTCATTTATCATTATTCAGGAAAACTAAACATATATCAGATAATTTTTCTTTCTTTCTTTCTTGTCTTGTTTCTACTAATTATTTAGACTTATTGAAATAATGTTACGTTTTTTATTTACAATATTTCTCTTATTTATTTCATTAACATCATCATCACGTTTAAAATATCGTGCATCAGTTAAAGAAAATGTTAATTTATATCATACAATAACATCACTCGATAAAATGTTATCTGTTAATTATCATCAATCTATTGAATTTTTAAATTTAAATTCTCCATATACAACATATTTTCTTGTTGATGGACAAAAATTACGTACAAGTCGTTTAATTGATCGTGAAGAATTTTGTCGAATAAAATTATGTGAAAATTCTATATGTCATCCATGTGAAATTGAAATGGATTTTGTTTTAAAAGAAAATGGTCAACCACGTGATATTATTTCGTTAATATTAACTGTAGAAGATATTAATGAATTTCGACCACAATTTTTAGATGTATCATCAAATGGTCAATCTATTCAACTAAACATTAGTGAAGGCGTGCCTGGTATGTATGTTTATTACACAATAGATAACCTTTAATGTGCGAGTTTCTGACATTCTGAAAGCTAATTGGGAAGTCTGTAATAGACGCTTTAAATGGATCTTTTTTTTATTGCTAAATAGCTTGCAAATCTCATTATGAAAGCAGATGTCTACTTTTTCTTTCTGTTTCTCTAGTTGGACACGTGTTACCCATTCCAAGTGCTACCGACAAAGATGGTGAAGATGATGAGCTTATTTATTGGCTTGAAAAAACTATTAAAATTCCATTTGAACTCGTTTCATTTGGTTCAAATCAAATTGGTACGAATGTGCATTTTCTTTTCTATAAAACATCAATTAAAATTCTTTTTTTTTTTTTTGTTCTCTTTTCTTTTAGCTCTCAATGTAACTGAACCTTTAGATCGTGAAATACGTGATTTTTATGAACTTAAACTAACAGCAAGTGATCGTGGAAATTTAACATCAACTATTCCTATTCATGTATCTATAAGTGATATTAATGATAATGTTCCAGCATTTGATCAACAATATCCTTATATGATAAATATATCTGAAAATACATTACCATCTTTAACTAAATCACTTATTCGTATACATGCAATTGATAATGATTCCAATGAAAATGGTCGTATCACATATCATTTTAGTCCTCAAGTATCTGAATTAATTCGTCAAATATTTCAATTGAATTCCGAAACAGGAGAATTATTTCTTCTACAATCACTTGATTATGAACAATATAAAGAATATCGTATACAAGTAACAGCACAAGATTCTGGTCCTGTATCAGTTCCTGTTTATACAACAATCATTGTTAATGTTGAAGATGAAAATGATAATATTCCAATAATGAATATACGTGTATCAGAATATTTTTATTTAATTAATAATACATTATATATAAGTGAAGAAACACCATTAAATACATTATTAATGCATATTATTGTACAAGATTTTGATTCAAATTTAAATGGTAAAGTTCAATGTTGGATTGAACCATTAGAACCAAAATTAAATATAACAAATACAATTAATAATATGTTTGCTGTTTATATTGAACAATTATTTGATCGTGAACAACAATCAAATTATTCCATACGTTTAATTATTGAAGATAATGGTTTAAAAAATCGTCATCGAACTGTACGTGAACTTCAATTAATTATAACTGATATAAATGATTCTCCACCAATATTTACACAAATATTTTATA